CACACACACACACACACACACACACACGCAGACAGACAGACAGACTTGCCAGCAGCTGATTCATGCACTGACTGCACTGCAATCCATTAAAGTAAGACTCCTGTCTTGAAAAGTCCATATGAAAACACAGCAGCAAAGAAAATCTCTGGTAACACTTTAGATTAGGGAACACATATTCATTATCATTATTTTCCCTCAATAAACTCCTATTGAAAGTGAAAGTGAAATTGAATTTGCTGCTCATTGATAGTAAGTTAGTCGTAGTAGTTATGTTTGGATCTAGAATATTTAACACATATTTACATCTTTTTTTAATTAGACATCATGTCTGTACCATAATAAACCAAGACACAAATTTTACGCTATTCTCAATCATTGCACGAATCCGTGATGACGTACACACTTGGATTGTCTCCCACTTAAATTAGTTGGGCAATTACATTGACACTTCTTGCACTTCAAGTCATAAAGCTCATCATGGAGATTATAGTTAGTAAGAGAGATGGTAAACATCTGAAATAGCCTACCAGTTACCTGCAACCTGCACAAACCACACATACATGGGCCTGTGCCAACAATAACGCACCACAGTTCCAAAAGAAAAATAACACTCTTTACTGGCCCGGTAGAGCAGGACCACCCCAGTCAAAAGGTTCCTGTCAACTCAATTACCCAGATGAGGATACTTTTAGAAGCCTTCCAGGGGTACAATTAGCTTTTTAAGTAGTCCGTTTTTTCCTGTTTCTGTTAATCACCTGCTTTTTACGTAGTCAGTAATTTCTGTTATCACAATTTAACACACTTTTCCCCCAAAAGCGGAAGTTCTCCCCATGATATATAAAAATATATATTTTTTAAATCCATAAAAGGAAGTAAAAACGATGATAATTTGAATCTGTGGGGACATTAAATATGACAGAAGTAGAATACAATAGTAAGCAGTTTTGATATTGCAATCTGTACCTTCACAATACACCATAAATATTTAATATGAATATCATCTTTTTACTTTCTGAAAATATGCTCGAAAAGGATCAAAAATAAATTCAACTTTCCAAATAATTGATAGATTACACTGATTATTTGTTATGAATGCGCTAGTAATAATAATAATTTCAGTTTGTATTATTATTTTCTTCAGTGCGTAACTTGCAACTCAAAGTGTGTTATAAACATATTTAATATTTAATTTAAAAACAAGATTAATTAAATTAATACTGACAATAAAACCATAAAATGCAAAAAAAGAGAGACCTGATGCAAGCAAGTGGAACATAATTGAAGTGTCATATATATATTTTATGTATATATGACATTTTATGTATGTATATATGTATATATGGCTCAGTGGTAGAGCATTGCGTTAACAGTGCAAAAGGTTGGGGGTTCACATCCCAGGGAACACACATACTGGTTTTTTTTTTTTTATATATATATATATATATATATATATATATATTGCTGGCTAATTATAGGCTTTTATTAAACTTTTGCTCACTGTATTGCATCACTGTATTCTTTGGAGTACCATATAAATACCATAGTATATTAATATAATAATAATTCAGTTCCATATTGCCATGATATTGCCATCACTGTACTATCACAGTACATTTTAACACAAAAAAAATCTGGATGCAATTGGTTCTTCTGAATAAAAGCACTAAGTCTGAGGAACATATCTGCACATGTAAACATTAACAAGCAAGAAAATTAACACATGGTGGGCATATGCTTCACTTCACTTCGTTTGTCATTGCTATGTAATATTTCTGTCCTATATGAGTCTATTAAAAATATTGCATAAATAAACAGCTCATATGAATGGAAGAGCTCACTCTTATTAACGGCAGGGGTTTCCATTTCAGTCGTAAAGGCGTTTTAAAGGTCTGAGTTAATGAACAAACATATTTTGGTGCATGTCCCACCCCTGCAATTACTTTTGCATATACAAATCCATTTTTTTGTTTGCATGTGGTAAGATACTCTAATATAGCTCAGCAAAAACACATCTTTTATTTATTTATTTGTTTTATTTAATCTCATATTTAATACTATATGCTTTCACTTTGCCATGTTCCATGTCAACCCTAAACAACACCTTTGCATGTAGTCAACTGCTGTTGTGCACTTTCTCTCTGCTGCCCCATAAAGATGACGTTATGCTGCAGATCCGGGGCTGACGTCGCTCGCTCTCGCGATATTTCGGCGTCAAGCAGGTTTTGAGCCTAACCCCCCTCCCGCGCTGTCCCCTCCCACGCCCCAGCGCGCTGTGTCGGGATAGTGGCAGTATAAAGTATATCTTCCATCCGAGACAGATAAGAAGCGCCAGGCTAGAGGGGATGAAGATGGCGGACGCCAAGCAGAAAAGGAACGAACAGTTGAAGCGCTGGATAGGCTCGGAGACGGATCTCGAGCCGCCCGTCCTGAAGAAGAAGAAGACGAAGGTGAAGTTCGACGATGGCGCCGTGTTTCTGGCCGCCTGCTCCAGCGGCGACACTGAGGAGGTGCTGCGAATGCTCGACCGCTGCGCGGACATCAACTACGCCAATGTAGACGGACTCACCGCGCTGCACCAGGTGAGTTAAGAGCGGCTCAGCGGCGGCTGGTGTGCACAGATCCGTGTCTCAGGCCGGTTTGCTGGCTGGCTGTGTTTACTCAGCCAGGCACCACCACCACCACCATCATCATCATCATCATCATCTTCGTCGGGCCGTTTTGCGGAACCACGTTAGCCGCTGAAGCTAATCGGGCTCTGATTGAAACGAATATTAGCTTTTATGCGCACTGTGCTGGATCGATGAAGCCGGAATAATCGTATTTGTGTGTAAATGAGTTTGTGAAGGCAGGAAGAGGACTGCCTGACTGATTCTCGTGTGTGTGTGTGTGTGTGTGTGTGTGTGTGTGTGTGTGTGTGTGTGTGTGTGTGTGTGTGTGTGTGTGTGTGTGTTAGCTGATGGTTAGCCTGTTAGCCTCTAAATGTTAGTAGATATAACGTTACAGCACAATAACTGTTTATAAACTCATCGGGTGAATGTGCATGGGTTTTGTTATGTGTAGAATCACGGAGACGACTCGTAAATGTGTTTTGATCCGCTGGTCACCATTGAAATTACGTTGTTAAAGTGCATAGCAACCAGTTAGCACGGCGGTGTATTTTGAAGTTGGCCAAGTTACCTAGTTGACACGTATGTTGCGTTTGAGATTATTGACTGAAAATGTGGCATTTATGGGGGAAGATTCCGTGTAATATGGCTTCTGTGTGGCAGGGTGAATTATTATATAAAACGAGACCACGAGCGAGCGCGACAAAGGTCAAAGTCGCGCAGTTTATAACGAATAATAAGTTCGAGAAACTAAAATGCTGTCATCATATACTCTTTCATGTTGTAACAAACCCGTATGACTGATTTAACTCGTGTGACACTTCAAAGGTGATATTATTTGGCAGAATCAATGACCGCTCCAGTCACCATTCACTTTCAAAGCGTCTTTTTCATACAATGGCGACTTGCGCTGTCAGTTGTCAAAATTATACTTGTCTTCCACATTGGCGAGCCACACGAGAAAGCAAGTCAGTACGTTTCGAAACATAATGAATTCAAGTAAATCCTGACACAATTTTCCATAAATATTTAGTGTACTGTCGCTTTAAGACGTAGTTTCCTTGGCTCGACTGTAAACGTCCGTGAAAGATGCGTCACTTTAGTTGAGTTTTTCCGTTAATAACCGTGTAACGCGCTAATGTTTTTTTGCAAAAAAAGTATGTGTGGCAAAGATAGACGTGTGGTTGCAAGCGGAGGCAATTTCTGTCAATTTATCAATTGAATTTGTCTAGGAAAATAGGAAAGATACTATAAAACTTCATATTGTGTTTCATATTTAGATTTCTATTTAAGCAACATTTCTGGGCATCATAGACACAATAAACATGTTTATTCAGATGTTAAGGGTAAAACATTGCAACGCTTATTGTGTAATTCAAAGCCAAAGAGCATTAAAGTAACTGTTCTAGATGTCACAAAAGTCTACTCTATAAGTATCATGCAATTTGAACTGGAAAAAGTGTCTTTTGACATTGACAACCGTGATATCTAAAGCCCTGCAATGAGTCTTCTGGGTTTGATGTGGCTGTAAGTGACTGCAGGAGGTTGTCTGTACAGGCTCATGCATTTAAAATCACTTGCCTTTTTTTGGGCCGGTGTTCAGACAGGGGGAGGAAAGAATTTGGATGCAGCTCTTGAGACCTAACCATGACTGGAGAGGCTCCTTTCTCTATTGGGTCTGCTGTGTGTGTTTATGTATGTGGTGGGCATGTGAGGGAATGGAGAGTTTTAGCATGTGACCAGCAGGCAGTGAGTTCATAGCGAATGGCATTTGCTTTTAAACTCGTTATAAAAGACGCACAGGTTGAGTTGTGCTGGAGGCATTTTGTATATAAATTTTTAAGTGTGTAGTAGAAGATGTACATATTAATGTACAAAGGTGCTTCAAAAGGTCTTTCAAGCGATGCCATAGAAGAACCATCTTTGGTTCCACAAAGAACCGTTCAGTCAAAGGTTCTTTAAAGAACCATCTCTTTCTTACCTTTTTGTAATCTGAAGAACCTTCTTTCGCCCCAAAGAACCTTTTGTGAAACAGAAAGGTTCTTCAGATGTTGAAGGTTCTTTATGAAACCATTTAGACAAAAAGGTTCTTCTGTGGCATCGTGAAGCACCTTTATTTTTAAGAGTGTAGCTCTTGAAATTGTGCTTGGTTTGACGATTGCATCAAGAAATGAGAATGTGTTTTCACAAAAAAAATGGGTCACAGGGTCTGTTCTAGCAAGTGGAATTGGTTGCAACTAACAGCATAGTTGTATGTAGTTTGTTGGATGGCTTATAAAAATATCTAATTTTTCAAGTAGAAGAGAAGATGCTTTCTGCATTTTGTTGCTGGCATCAAATCTATGCGTTGATTCAGTCTCTTCTGCAGCAAATCCACTTGGTGATGTGACTGATATGATATTTATTTAGTTTTATTTTCATGTGTTCACTTAGTTAATTGCATTTTTTCAAGTTGTTTAGCGTTTACAAAATTTGCAGTTCTTTCATTATGCCCATGTCATGTTAATAATGTTATATTACGTATTTTTACAACATTCAGTTTCAGATTATAAGGAAGGAAATAGGCTTATGATGATGACACTGTTCCACAAGCTGGGTCTAAATTGAGCTGAACTTGTAGCCTACATCTGTGCATTATCAATACATCGATGTGGGTGGAGGCATTTATCAAAAGACATAATATGATGTATTGATGCAAAATGTAAAAAAAAAAAAAAAAAGTATCTTTATAGTATACCTATACATTTGTATATTTAAAAGTCTGAAAGATGGGCTATACTAAAGGACTTGTTTGACTGTTATAAAAAGAAGTCAAATATTTGATAACTTCTCTGTGATAACTTCACAAACTTTATTCGTGTTTTTTTTTTTTTAATGCGTTGTGTAAAAATGTGTTAGGCACAGTTTATGTCATTACATATCTCAGTGATGAGCTGTCATCGGACAATTTGATGATCTCATATGTGGCTTGTTTGCTTTTCCATTTTTTTAAGTTGTTGTTGTGGATGTACCATTTACATTTACTAGAGAAACCTGAGGATTTAACAAGCGGCTTGACTGGTTGTTGCTTAGTTTCGCTAGTACGGAATGATTAATTACACTTTTATTGCGTTCCCCTGTTTAAATGCACAAGAGTGTTGCACTGCAGGCCTTTAAATTGAACAATTCCCTTTTATTTTTGCAACTTTAGACTTGCCAATCCTCAGCTTCACTTTAGAGATATATAAGATTGGAGTCACGTGGTTTATATGTTTATTTAGACGTCAATATGTCAGCAAAAGTTGGTTCAGGCAGTGTTTTGGTCACCCCAGCATAACCCTAATTTCACACGCAGGCTCTAGGAGGAGGAAATAGACAGCTGCATCCCCTATGTAGTGTAGTTTACTCACGGCAATGTTTGGACTGAGCTACAATTAGGTTTTATGGTTTTTACTCGTGCAAAATGACGTATTTACTGGTCATTTTCATATTAATTGCAGAATGTAATGCTTTGTAGAAGATTAAAAGCATGTGACTCATACTTGAAGGTAGCACTGGGACCTGATTGGGATCATGCGATTCGTCCCCATTCAGGACAGTTTCACCGCATCTGTGCTGCAACAGGTAGTGACCTCACTTTCAGCGCACTGCTGTGTTTATCCAGGGAGGGACATGGTGTGCTGGTTCCAGTGACTGTAGTAGCAGTATGGTTAGGGTTATAAATATCATGTGCAGACTGGCCTGCAGGCAAGTGCAAGAACGCTAACTTTAGCACCCAGTCAACCCACATTCTGCGCGGCTCAATCTCATAGTTAAGAAACCTGGTGTGGGCTTCTGTTGTCTGTTCTTTACTCATGTTGTGCAGATTGATGTTTCAAATCGAAAGTCACTCACTTTGTCAGAGCCATGGCATAGTTGGTAGTGCATGTGCTCATGTTTGAATCAGTCTTGCGTCATGTTGTGATCTTCCTTTTTTGCCCCAATTTCATGTGCTTCTCAACTGTTACAAATGCAGAAAATGCTTTTTAAAAATGACTAGAAATTATCCATAAATGAGTGAACATCGCAAAGCCCATTGAGAACATGTCCAGATAACTATTCACCCCCAAACTCTTCAAGTAATTTTTCACAAAGAAAATGAAGACTATTTTTACAGCCACTGTAAAAATAAAAATGGATTTATATAATTGTGTACATAAATGTAATATTAATAGTAAATTTGCGTAAAGATTATGTGAATGCTGTTTTTTTACAGCAATTGTTTTTGCTTTATTTCCGTAATATATTTATATTTTTAATAAGATGTATAGCAAAGTATACTTTAATTAAGGCTATTTTTTTAACCTTTGATTTATGACATTATTTCCATATTATAATTTAAAATGTAGCTTATGAAGTTATTTACAAAAGTTTTTCTGCATCAATGCGGTGATTTAATAGATGTTAAAAAGGTCCTTAAAATATATACATTTAATACAATTTTTATTTTTATTTTTTATAATCTCTAACTACATTCAAACACATTTTGCATAAAAAAGGCTATAGGGCTAGTTTTTTTATAAGCTTTGTATTGACCTTATTTCTCTGATATGTATAAAAAAATAAAGTGATTTATAACAAACTATTTAGCGTGCTTTTAAACTATTTATTTAGAACAAAGTAAATTAGTATTCATGCTTATCATGTTTAATAAAAATATTTTGGGGTGAAATGTGACCCAGTTTGACACATTCTCATGAAATTTTCCCATATAGGAGTGATGACAGAAATATGGTGTGTCTTTCATGTATATAATCATTCCAGTTAAGCAGAAAATGGTTAGATTTATCTATTGGCTCAACAACTTTGTGGAGGCAGTATGCAAATAGAGGCGAGAAACAGCAGATTACGCCCGAGGCCTGAAGCGTTGGTGTCTGCAAGACTGTTCCTTAATGTTTTCCAAGGATGAGCGTTTCATAACGGCAGTATTTTTGAAATTGAAGGTTTACATGCAC